AATATACCTATTATTGTAATACATAATATAGAGGCACATAACATTTTTTTTTTTTTTTTTTTTTTTTTTATTTATAAGATATAATTACAATCTATACAGCAATTTTGTACAATAAGTAATATTGATAAAGTATTTACATAATAGCGTGATTAACAGATGGGGGAGGGCACTCAGTAGTGCCACCCGACAGATTAAATTAGAAGGTCTCTAGGCCAGGAGCGTTTTAAACGTCTCAGGGGGTTATCAGGGATTGTTAGAGAGGATATGCGTTTTATTAATGGATTGTAATGTTGGTTTAACTTGGAATGAAAGGAGACGTAGTGAGATTTTGTTAATTGAGAGAGCGAGGGGATATTTAGGTCTTTGTGGAGATTATTATTTGAGATGAACCATGGAGCAGAGACAATTTGCCTTAGACAGATAGACTGGAATGCCTGGATTGTTCTCGTGTTGGAGGGTTTGGCAGAGCCCCAAATCTGGATGCCATAGGACCAAACAGGTCTGATGATGGATTTGTATATTAATAGTTTATTTTTTAAAGATGTCTTGGATCTAAGAAGTGGGCGGAGTAAATGAAGTCTGGAGTTGATTGTTTTTCTTTTTATTTTAAGGTGTTGGGCCCATGTGAGGCGCCTGTCAAAGATCAAACCTAGGTATCTTATTGTCGGGGTGACTGGAATTTGGTTATTATTAAACGATACGGAGGGGCAGTCGCCTGGTCTAAGAGAGAAGGTGATAAAGGATGATTTAGCGTCGTTTATTTTGATCTTCCAGCGGTTTGACCATCGTTGAATCGAGTTGAGGTGATTTTGAAGCCGGAGAGATACTACCTGGGGGTCATGGTTTGAAGCCAGGATTATCGTGTCGTCAGCATATGTGCCCAGTGATGTATGAGGAGAGGTCGGAGTGTCGTGGGCGAATATAGAGTATAAGAAGGGAGCAATGTCACTTCCTTGAGGGACACCAGCTAGTATTTGGAAGTTTGACGAGTAGCTGTTATTAACGCGAACACTGAAGGTGCGATTTTCGAGGTATGATTTTAAAAGTAGGTAGTATGGGGCAGGGAGGAATTTTTTGAGTTTGAAGAGAAGTCCTTCGTGCCACACCTTGTCGAAGGCCTGTGCCACGTCAAGGAGTACAGCCGCACAATAAAGTTTAGATTCCATGCTGGTAGAGATTAAGTCGACAGTGCGGTGGAGCTGGTGGATGGTGGAGTGCTTGGACCTGAATCCAAATTGGTGGTTTGGGATGATATTGAATTTGTCTGATAGTGGAAGTAGCCTTTTGAGGAGTATTTTTTCAAAAATTTTTGCGAATGTGGGGAGGAGAGATATTGGTCTATAGGAAGACGGGACATCAGGCGGTTTGTCCGGTTTTGGGATTAAGATTATGTTAGAGTGTTTCCAGGCTGTAGGGAAGTAGGATAAACGAAACATGGAGTTGAAAATTAGTGCTAAAAGAATGATAGATTTTTCAGGGAGGTGTTTGACAACTAAGTTGCTTATTAGGTCGTGCCCAGGGGCTTTTTTGGTTGGGAGTTTGCGAATGATGTATTGAATTTCACCCGGGCTAGTATGTTTGGCAGGGAGGGCCATAGGGAGAGGGGAATCAAGAAATCTAGTAATATTTTGAGTATGAATTTTATTTGGGGTGATATTATGTGGTTTGAAAGCGTTAGCTAAGTGATCGGCGAAAATGCTGGCTTTATCGGAGTCGGAGGAGGCCCATGAGTTGTTAGGCATACGGAGTGGGGGGGATGGTGGCTTATGATGGATTAATTTTTTAGTGGCCTTCCACAAAGATGAGTCTTTAGTTGAGAGGTTTAGGATGTAGTTTTGATAACTATCGTTTTTGAGTTTAAGAATAGCTTTGTTTAGTTTATTTTTCAGATAATTAAACTTTGCTTTGTCCGAAGGGTATTTCGATCTATGCCATTGGGTTCTGGCTCTGCGTTTATCGGCGAGTAAGAGCATGATATGGGCAGGAATATTCGTATTATTCCGGGGGGGAGGATGGTTACTCGAGGCCGCGGTGGCAGAATTTTGAATAGTGGAGGTTAAGGAAAGGATAGCGCTGTCGATTTCAGAGGTGGTTTTAAGGGAGGGTTTAAGGTTAATGTTATCGGTTACTAATTTTTTGAATTTAGGCCAGTTTACTCTGCCAGAAGTAAGGGAAGGTTTAATTTGTTTAGTGGCCCATGCGCCCACCTCAAGATAAATTGGGGTGTGGTCAGAGGAGAGATCGTTTAAGTTTGATATGGTTGAGTGTATGTGGTTTGGAATTTTGGAAACGAATATATCAAGGATATCAGGGAGTCTGTTACAGTGAGAAGGCCAGTAAGTAGGAGAAGGGGGAGAGATCACTGAGTAGTTCATAGAGTCTAAGACAGATTTAAGTGCACGGCCTCTGGTATTTGCGGAGCGGTTTCCCCAGTAGGGGTGTTTTGAGTTGAAATCACCTCCAACTATGAATTTTTGACCTAAGGTGGAAAAAAAGGTTTGAAATTCGACAGACGAAATTTTGGGTCCAGGGGGACAGTAGATTGCAGAAACGGCAATAGGGGTAGAGTTGACAAAGTTGACTTGGATTGTAGTGGCTTGTAAGTAGGGTTCAGAGTGTGGGGCTAATTGATGATGGGATAAATTGTTTTTAATGTAGATAGCGGTACCAGCGTGGGCAGTACCGTCCGGATGACAAGTATAATAAACTTGATATCCAAAAATTTTTGAGTGCGATGTGGGGGTAAAGTGCGTTTCGGAGATAAGGGCGATGTCGATATTTTTAGTTTCGAGAAAGAGTTGGAATTCGTGCTTATGTTTGGAAAGACCATTGGCGTTCCAGGAGATTATGGACAGGGGAGAATTTAGATTAGTATTCAGAGTCATTGGTAACAACTAATTTATTGATGAGAGAGGAGAGGAGGGTTATTAGAGGTGTGATGAGTGATTGGAGCTCATGAATGAATGATGTCAGTTGATTTGAGAAAGGGTTTTCGGGAGGAGAGTCATTAATAGGGGATTGGGTTTTACCTTTTGTTGCGCTGGCGTAGGAGTTCTGTCGGGTGGCCGGACTGGTTTGAACAAGGTTGGGGTTGGTTTGCTGAGAGATGTTCGAGCTGGTGAGGTTTGCTTGGCTGGTGGTAGATGGGTTGCTTGAGTGTTGATAGTATTTGGTTTGGGTGAAGTTCTTGAGTTTGGAGTTTCTTGATCGCAACAGAGTTTTGTGTTTGATGCATCCCTTATAATTTGCAGGGTGTGCTTCCCCACAGAGAGCGCAGGATGCCGGGGTGTCCCTTGGTTTTTCACAGAGTTCAGAGAGGTGACTTTGGCCGCAGCGGACACAGCGAGGGTCGCGATTGCAATAAGTTTAGGTGTGGCCATAGTCCTGGCATCTATGGCACTGGGGAAGGTCCTTCCGGGAGTGAGGCTCTTCGACTTTAATTTTGGTGTAGCAAAGTGAGGTAAGTTTGAAGATATTTGGATTTTCAGGAGCCGGGTCTAGATCGACGAAGAAAAGCGGGAGAGGAGATTTGGAAAGTCTAGCCTGGATATTAGAGATGTTTCTTACAGCGAAGCCCTTAGAAGTTAGTTCGTCCTTAATGGAATTTGTGTCCGTCGTTGGGTGAAGATTTCTTATCACAACCCGATAGGGCTTATCAGCTTTGACTTGGTAGGTAAAATACTCGAATTTGTTCTCGTTTAGCAGATGTATAATAAGGCGATAGAATTCAATTTTGGTCGTAGTGAGTTTAAGGTGTTTGGTAGATGATTTGCATTCGAAACCGTTTTCACCCGTGATCGATAGTAAGGATTTGCAAAAATCATTAAAATCGACTGGTGTAGTGATGAAGATAGGTGGCGGAGTTGTAGGAGAAGGTACATTTGTTTGTTCAGCCGTATCCATGGAGTCGGGTGTAACCTCATCACTGAGTGCTTCATAGCGATTTGGAGTGGAGAATTTGGAGGTGTTAGTTTTAGAGATTTTTGGCTCTTTAGATTTTGGAGAAGGACCTGGCGAAACGATACGTTTGTTGTTATTAGTAGACCATGATTGGTCGTCGGAATCATCGGAGAGATTACGTAAGTCGCTGTTTAAGTTAGTATTGATAGTTAATTTCTTATTTACGTTTTTATCGGTCTTATCGTTCGGCTTGAGAGGCCGATTAGAATTGTTTTGACTCGAGACATTAACACGAGCGGGATTTTTATTTTTACCCGACGACCTTAAGTTGAGCATCGTCGACTTGAGATAGCGAGCAGCGATAGGCAATTAGACCGATAAGCCGGTCGGCCGGTAACACGCACGTGACGGGCGGGCAGACGCCGCCCAAGTAAGCAATTAAATATGTTACCGATTTTCGATTTTTGAGACAACCGCGGGTCCGAACAAAGAAAGGAAGACGATATGTTTAAGGTTGAGACAATAAGAATTTTTAGACACTTCAACGAAAAAATTCGGTGGTGATTGACTCGCACAGCTAGTACTATAAGCGGAAAGCAATTATAAGTTAAAGTTAAATGACACCTTATTTTACTAATTAAATAAGTATAAGAAATGAATAGTAGTACAACTTTCCAGGAATAATTTTTCGTGTACCACGCATTTTTAAAAATACATATAGATTAATCCATAATCGAATTACAATGAACAAATAATCCGTACTTAATCATTAAAAAATTATGTTTTTACTTTTCATTAATTACGGTAAAATAGGGTGAAAAGAAACAACTGTTTTTTTTTTTTTTTTTTGTTATTGAATAGAAATGTTTGCGTTTATTAAAAAAGTAAAGTAAGTCTGGCTCAGTATACTAACCAGATATACATTTTCCAACAGTTTAACTTTTTTTTCTTTTGGAAAATGTTCAAATTAAATTTTCGTTACTTCATACTTTTTAGCATTATTCACCATATAATAAATATGCGAGGTCCATGATATTTTTAATTAATTGGCATTTTTAATGTATTTTTGAAATATTTGATTGTATCGCCTTATATAAGTGTAATTAACATTTTTAGTTTTAGATACAAATAATAAATAGAAAACTTTTACGACTACCTATGCAATTGAATAATCATAATATAATATATTATATGTAATCATATGATTTTTATTATGTTAAAGCCACTATAGATAATAATATTACATAATTATTTTTCTTCATTGATGTTGTTTAACTATTAAATAATTAAAATACCTATAAGCTAATGTAACTACTTACATGTCGCATTATAAATATTAATGATATATTTATAAAACTATTTAAATAATATAATTTTACAGTATCCACTGTAATGTATATTTCAGTAATATACTTATTATATATTTATATTACGACATTCTGACAGTTTTTACTCGTAAATTCTACCTAAAAAATGATGGGAAGAACAGAAATCCCATAAAATCTTCTATAATACCTATTTTATAATACTGAAAATACAACACTTATAAATACTCTTCAAATACTCAAAACATATAAGTTTTGAATATAAAATTCCATCGATCGTTTTCTTATAGTTTCTTTGGTATAGTTGAAACACTTTTTGCTTTACAACAATCTCTACTAATTAGTTAATCTTATAATATTTCTTGACACATATAATTTACAACTGTACAAGACAAGCTTTGAGAATTTAACGGTTATGATTCATTAGAGCAAAAAAATACATTGTTTATTTAGTTTCATTATACTTTTTGTATGTGAGCGCATTTTTATTGTATTCCTTCTTGCCTATTGGAACATTTTTAAAGAAAAACAAATTTATATAGCTATGTTTATTTTTTCGTATACATATTTGATTTTTGTGGTATACAACTAATAATGGTTTTGTAGTGAAATTCTTCAAATCTACTTTAAAAGGATTTATTATTTTTGTCAAAAATATCAATTGAATTTTGTACAGGTGCATTCAAATTGCTTGTGAATAAATAATCTAATATCCTTATTTATATATAATATATCAATTTTGGATTTAGAGATTTGTAAAATGTATATTATTTCCATGATATTTTCTTAGTATGATATTTATTTGATTAGAAGTTTAAAAAAAAAAATTAATAATCCATAAGACCATAACTATATTTGTACGGTTATAATATTTATATTAATTTTTTCAGAGTATATCATTTTATATGCTCTTTTTTGGGATAAAAATTACCATTGAATACTGACATATTGTAGAAATAATTTATGATTTATTACGGTTTTACATGAATTTGTTATTCCAAATAACAAACGATATAAAACTATTTTATTTTAACTAAAAACTAATATTTTAAATATGAGTAGGTGTCTAAATAATTTTATGAATCACAAAAAATTGTATGACTATTATTTTAATTTGTTTTTTAAATTATGAATTTCAAATATACAAAATGTGTAATAAGAATTACCTCATAATGTAATTAAATATATTATTTTAATTAGTTATTCCAGAGGAATTAGACTTATAATATTAAAATAAATATTTAATAATATAAAATAATTGTACAAATATTAATGTATCAATGTACAATAATGTTTAATTACCAACTTAAAATTGATCGGAATGAAAAATATAAATTATTACTTTTTTAATTATTGATTATTATTAAGTGAATAACTCATCAATTTAACGTGATATTTTGTTTAGATTGGATCATATTATATGGTTTTTCTATATTTTTAAATTTCTCATTGAGTATTATGTAATATATAGTTAGTGTGACTTGGCATGTTATATTCCAGTTAAAACTTAAATGTGTACTGATTACATTAAGTGTTTTGGGTAAAATTTTGTGTCAAATTTTGACTTAAATTAATTAATTAGATTAATTTAGATTTATGATGATGTTGTTAGTATCTGCTGAATTCAGGAGCATTTTTTATTTTCATAATCTTGTCTATTTGTAGTACACTTATTTCTAATCGTTTTGTTCATTTGAACGCACCAATATACGTATAATAATTTTTTTTATTTTATTGTTTAAAATGAAATTTTGGATTGGATTTTTCGATAATCATTTAAACACTTTTTATAGAACTATTTTTCTCAAATTTGTACATTTTTAAATGATAATATTTATTTTTGATTATATCCATCAATTCTGCATCAAAAATTTAAGTTTAGATGAAAATATATTTTTTGAAATGGAAATATTTAAAATTCATTATATGTTATGTTTTTATGGCATTGTATCATTGTATATTGATATTGTACGATATTTAAATTATTTTACATATTATTTGGGTAATATGAACTATCTACTTTATTTTTATGTGTTTATAAATTTGTTACTTTATTAAGAAATAATAAACAATTGCGAATATACTCTGAAATATATTAGTACTTATAAAATGTAATATATTAGTTTAACATTAAATAGAAATAGAATAAAACAGTAGTATTAAAATTACAAATTAGTTATTTTAATCTTAAATTCTACAATCAGATAGAATTTTTTGAAAATATTTTCATAGTATTTTGTTAAACAACACATTTTAAAGTGATTGTTCAGTTCAAGAATACTGATTAGTTGTTATAATTAATACAAATTAAATTTCTGTGATTTAGTCAAAGCTGATAAGCCCTATCGGGTTGTGATAAGAAATCTTCACCCAACGACGGACACATAACATTTTAAAACAATTATTTTTATCGATCGATTTCTTGGGTACGCTGAAGTACTTATTGGATGTTATATATATACGCATAATTTATATATGTTGCAGACGGAAATATTTTGTGATTACGGAAACGAATGAACTTCCGCACTCCACTGCAGTGATCATCTATTACCAAATATACATACCGGAATCACGGAATAAATGAAACTTAATTTATTTTGTA